GAAGAAGGCACTCTACGAGTGTGGGATGAGTTTCAAATGAATTTCTAGTTTGTTATTCGGGGAATGTAGAACAGTGATTTGGCCAAGTAGCGTAGGTTTTAAAAGAAACAGTTATTTTTGTTTGTTTGTTGTTGTTTTTTTATTCAGGGAAACTAAGGAAGAGCAAGGCATGAGAAAGTTTGAGGAAGAAATAGCTGCACAAACTTATGCACATCGGAACTTGAGAGAAGAGTGAGAATTCACATAGACCTTAACAGTTAAGGCTGTGATTTCATATATTTTTATTGATTAGGGACTTAACAGTGAAAGGTCAGAAGTGATGCAGGAAACTATATACAAGGTGGATATAAAATGGTAAGAATATTTAAAACAGTCCTGGAAAGGACGCTAGGTGTTCCACTATAGTAAATGGTCAATGCTATCATCATAATGTTACAACGTAATATTTGCTCAGGAATCGCAATGCCATCGTTCATCTAAGGAACCCCAGTAACCAGTGGCCAGCAGGGTTAAGGTTAGGAAAGCCAGGTTGCCAAGCACGGACGTTTTTACCTAAGTTAGTACTTGTCTTCCGATGTCGGTTCTATATTGATTAAAATTAACTACTCAGTATCAGACGATAAGACTACGCATGCCCAAGATGTCTCCCAGTCATAACGGCATCAGTGGGCGAAAAATAACTTGCCAAATGATTTAGTTTGCTAAAAGGGGTAATAAATTCCTGCTACTAGTAGCTAATATTTGCAGGATAAAGTGCGCTATTTAGTTTACTGTGTTACATTGACGTTGTATATTTTGTTTGGTTTGAAGTAACATCGTAAACTAAATAGCGTACTTTATCCAGCAAATATTAGCAGAAATTATTACCGTTTGGAGTCGCTACTAACGGCACGCTAGTAGCAGTAATAGCGGATAGAGCGAGTTAGGAAATTTTGACAATTTTCTTTAATATTTTAATGATAAAAAAACAATGCAAAGCTACACAGCGAGAAATCTATTCCCAGCTATTAGTGTGGGTACGTGTGAGTTTATAGCAAAGCCACATCGGGATATTTGCTGTGTCCATGCAGGGGAATCGAACCCCTATTTTTTAACATTGTAAATCCGCAGACTTACCGCTGGCCCAGCGGGGGACCCCGGATAATGGAGTTGTAAATCCGTAAAAATACCGTTCACCCACTTAATGTTTCTAGTAGCAGTTTTTTATATTAAGCAGTAAATACAAGAATGGCAGCATGTTATAAAAGTAGATGAAACACAGAAACAGTTCTGTTAATTATTATATATATATTATTATTTTTTTTTTGCTCGTTTCTCATAGATTGTGAATCTTAGCCAAGCCGAAAAGGCCTGGCATTGCCTAGTGGCTAGCGTGTCCGCACTGTGAATCTGGGGTTGACATAAATCACACCCTACACAATGAGGAAATGGTACACTATAAAGTGATGGTTAAATTCCAGTATTTGATCGGATAAAAGTAGCTCGAGAGCTAACGATGGAGCTACTGAATAACTGCCTTTCCTCAAGTCTGTCGGTTGAAACTTAGAGACGGCTATGTGCAGATACCCCTTGTGTAGTTTTGAGACAAACAACCAAACAATAGCTGAAAAGCGGGAAAAATGCACAGTTATGTGTGAATAAATCGCCCATGTACAGCATCTAATCGTTGATTTACTGAAAAACTGAAATTAATTTTAAACCACTTCTATGTTCAAGTACGTAGCGTTCCTTGATAATTTACATTTCTTATTTCGTATTAAATGGTTTACTAGAGGTTCTGAAAATATACGAGTGGATAAAGACAGCTTATAAAGTTATTTAACTCATATAAGAATTGATAAAATTGAAAAACAAACTGCGTTTTCTATATGAAAAATAGTACAAAACATTCTTTGCGAATGAATAATTATGTCTTTTACTAGCAAGTTCGAGTCTCTTCACAATATTTGTTTTGTTTGTATTATTTGGGAAAAATACGTTTGTTTAGGACGACTCAACAGACGCAAAATGTGTAAGGGGGTCCATCAAGGTTATACTAACATATCTTTTAAACAAGTACGCAGAAAAACACATTTTGCGTCTGTTGAGTCGTTATTAACCACCCATTCACACACCCTGGGTTCACTGCTAAATTAGGGACGGCTAGCACAGACAGCTCTCGTGTAGCTTTGCGTAAAATTCAAATAAATAAAAAAAAAATGTAAGCACAGTGGTTTTCTCTTTTTTTTTTAAAGGTTTTATCAACCCCCCATTCACACATCGTGGGTTCAACAAGTACGCAGAAAAACACTGTGTGAACATCGGGTCCATCAAGGTTATACTAACAAATCTTTTATCTTACATGTAAGACTAGAGAGAAGGCAGCTAGTCATCACCACCCACCGCCAACTCTTGGGCTGCTCTTTTACCAACGAATAGTTGGATTGACCGTCACATTATAACGCCCCCACGGCTGAAAGGGCGAGCATGTTTGGTGGGACGGGGATTCGAACCCGCGACCCGCAGATTGCGAGTCGAGCACCTTAACCACCTGGCCATGGCGGAATGGTACACCAGAGTGGAAGAGATACGAGTAACATAACATCTTAAACATCCCTCTCTTCAGCGACGGTACGAACATATGTAACGACATCTTCATCTAATATCATACACCTCGAACAGATAACATGAGGACTGGTAGATTTGAAAACAGAAGTAGCGTTATTACGATAACAATACGAAACAAAACCGGATGTTTAAAAAGCCAAATTTCAAATTGTTACAATTAATACTTTGTAGGTTTTTCCCTTCAGCTGACTTTCTTCAATAAGCTTTGGTATTAAAGGAAAGTCCCCTTCGGCAGAGGAACATAACAACAAGTTATAGGTATGCTTAATGAGCTTAGATGGTAAAGGAAATCCCCCGTCGTCAACAGGATGCAGCAGTAACGTACAGTACAACTTAATGACCATTGGTGTTTAAAGAAAGCCCCTTAACGAGTTCTGGTGTTAAAGGTGGCCATCCACTGAATTTTAACGGAATTTAAAGCAATAGTGATAAAATAAATGTGATACAGTTCGTATAATTTGGGTAGGTGGTGGAAAATCAACCCACTTATTGTCTAACCGTATCACCAACGCGTATTACGATTATCATAGACAAAAAGCCATATTAGTGAAAATAAACTGGAATAGCTTTCAGATAACTGAAGGATAAAAAAACTTACCCTGCTAGCGAGAAGCCCTGGGTTCCAGAGTCTCTTTTCTTTTATTGACTTTTTCACGTAAACGTTTATATTAAAACGTAACCTTTCACTGTTTCCTAACAGACTTTGCGATGCTTTTGTTAATGATATTTTGTAACATAGACAGAGTCGGGATAAAAGGTATTGCTTTTGTTAATGATATTTTGTAACATAGATAGAGTCGGGATAAAAGGTATTGCTTTTGTTAATGATATTTTCCTAACATAGCTAAAGTTGGGATAAAAGGTATTGCTTTTGTTAATGATATTTTGTAACATAGATAGAGTCGGGATAAAAGGTATTGCTTTTGTTAATGATATTTTGTAACATAGCTAAAGTCGGGATAAAAGGTATTGCTTTTGTTAATGATATTTTCCTAACATAGCTAAAGTCGGGATAAAAGGCATTGCTTTTGTTAATGATATTTTCCTAACATAGCTAAAGTCGGGATAGAAGGTATTGATTTTGTTAAGGACACAAATCCCCCTTTAGAGAAAAGACCACTAGCCATCACCACCCAACGCTAACTATTGGGCTACTACTACTTAATGACCAAATAGTGGAATTGACCATAACTCCCTGTTTTAACGCACCAACTGCTCCAAAGAGAGAACTCGACATCTTTATTATTTTGTGACAACGGGACGCGTACACCAGACTCTCGAAGACACAGTCCAGCACTCTAGACACTTGGGAGCCTGGTTTTGTACATACTCTTAACAGTCCAAAATACGAGTATATACGCCGCTAGAATCAGTGTTCAACAACAAAAACACAAGTTATTGTAAGGTATAGTGTGTAACAGTAGCCTCAAAAATCTCTTGAATAAATTTAGTTTAAGCGACATTTAAGAATGAAAAAGTCATTACGTTGGTTTAAGCAATATAAGATTCCTAATTAATTATTTTGTTTTATTTACGAATGATGTAAAGTAAGTTCGTTTCCTGTTTTCCTTTGTTTAAAAATAGTTATAAACCCGTTTTGATTTTTGCCAATTTTTGGAATTAAACACAAAGCTACACAATGGGCTATCTGTGCTCTGCCCACCACGGGTATCGAAACCCGGTTTCTAGCGTTGTAAGTCCGCAGACATACCGCTGTGCTACTCGGGGTCATTGATTTTTGCATGATCATACACAATAGTTAAAACAAACAACATTTAATGTCTTATGTAAACATCAGCCCCCAGTGGCACAGCGGTATGTGGTGGGCTGAGCACAGATAAGCCCATTGTGTAGCTTTGTGCATAACCTAAAACAAACAAATGTAAACATAAATTTCGTAATGCCAATAAAGTGTTAACTTTATCATGCCCGTTGTATAACTCCTAATAAACGTTCTGTTTTATTAATATGCATGACATCAGTAATATAAAAGATGAGACAGTATTGTGAGATTAGATAACAATGACGATTCAACTGATGTCCACCAACTCTCAGCTTATCATTTAATACACCTACATCTAATTCATTTGCTGACACTTTTCGCACAACAGAATGATCGTGTAAAGTTTTGCACGTGTATGAATTTCTTTGACTACATCATGACTTGTGTTTATACATTTCTGTACGTCTGTCTTAACTAATTGTAAATCTTCTCTGGAGTTAAACCACGTGATCCGAATGTGATTTATTCTTTTGGTGTAAAATTACGAATACTGATGGCGCTTTTAGAACCTAACTACGTGATCTCACTTAACTGATTAATTGTTTTGTTGCGTAACATGTTTCACAGTGTCAAAATTTTCCACCAGAGGGCTCGTGAGAAGGTGTTAAAGAGAATGCTCCTAGTAGGCGTAACTATAGTGACTTCAATTGGGGACTACAGTTCACGTCGAACATGTCCGAAGACAGGTAAGGGTTTGGGTTCCTAATATTGTGATTGTACATTTTCTAGTTGTTTCAACTACAGATAAGGTTACACTGGATTTCGGGAAACGTTGTTTAATATATACATTTGAAAAAAAATAATAACTAACTTAATACAGCTATAGATAAAAAAAAAAAGATTACATATGAATATGTTGGTTGGTTGTTTGTTTTAGAGCAAAGCCATATTTAGCTATCTGCTGTGTCCGCCGCTGGGAATCAAACCCCAGAATTTTAGCGTTGTAAGTCCGTAGACTCGCCGCCGTCCCACCGGGGGACAGGTGTATGTGAAAGACAAAAATACGAAACAATCTTCATTAGGGACAAACTATTTATATATATATATATGTGTGCGTGTATATTATTTTAAAATGTTGTACAAACATCTGTTTGTTGGTTGTCATTTATCATAAATTTTAAGCAATTGAATTTCAGTAAAAGTTGTTCGTATTTACAAAATGTTCTTTAAAGAACTCAGTTACTGTATCTTGTACTTTGACGAGATAGAATAAAGAGTCCCAAAATTTACATATATCGTACACAATTTTCATTCATATACCGAAGCCATGCAGCCCCCTACTTTTTCTATTGTCATTTATACAATAGAGTTTTTCTTTAACTTGGAGTTCAGTAAACGATTATATTATATTATTTATTTTTAGTTCTCGAAAAGAAGATTCGCATCGTTATTTTAGATATGTTTAAGAACAATGTTTGAAAATTTCTAGACACGTTACAATCGACTCTTACATTAGGGGTTTCTAGCGTCATCACCTAGCGCGACAGCCTGTTTAAAGTTTCGTTTAACGTACATTTTATCCGAGTTACGTGTCCATAACACTTACCAAATTTAGCATGCTCTTTTGTACAATAGTTTTATAGGAATTATCTATCTAAATTTGCATTGTCTAATCATCAATGTATAGTTCACACTTTCAAAACACGAGTCTCGGTTCTGATAATCCCCCCTTAAGATTCTTGCTGTTAAGAAACACCAGGAGGTGTCCTTTTTTTAACAATTAGAGAGAGAGAAAGTTAAATATTTGTGAGTTTTCGTTAATATCTGAAGTTTTTTTTTTCATTCTTATCATTTTCAAGCATTAAGATATTTCTAAGCTTCTGGTAATATTATTCAAATGGACTTACATGACAATCGTTTCTAGAAAAAATATAAACTGGCATCAAGGTATTTGTATTTTATATTTATTTCTAATAGAACGAAGCCACTTTGGGCTACCTTCTGTGTCCATCATGGGAAATCGAACCCTGAATTTTAGCGTTCTAAGCACGTAAACTTAACGCTGTCCCACCGAGGGACAAAGTTTGTTTTATAGCAAAGCCACATTGGGCTACCTGCTGTGTCGACCGCGAAGGATCGAACTCCGGATTTTAGCGTTGCAAATCCGTATATTTTCCGCTGTCCCACCAGGGGACAATGTTTATTTTAGAACAAAGCCATATTGGGCTATCTTCTGCGTCCATCATGGGAATCGAACTCCGGATTTTAGAGTTGCAAATCCGTATATTTACCACTGTCCCACCAGGAGGTAATGTTTATTTTAGAGCAAAGCCATATTGGGCTATCTTCTGCGTCCATCATGGGAATCGAACCCCGGATTTCAGCGTTGTAAGTCCGTAAATGATTTACCTCTATCACACCAGGGGACAAACATCAAGGAACGAGTGTAAAAAAAAAAAATCCACGTGAGAATATTTTAGGATTCCAAGAATAAATTAAGTAAATTAAAAAGTAAACTTTTGGGGCAATTTATTCCAAAGATCCTTTTCTTAATTTATGTACCCATGAATATTTTACAGAGATGCATTCAGTGAAAGTTAGCGTAAATTACGAAATAAATGAATGAAACTCGTTTTCTTGCACCATAATTCCTACTAAAACCCCCACTAACTTCCATAAAAGAACAGAACGATTTGTCAGTATATTTCATAACTTCTTCCACTTGAAGAAGGTGTGACTGTAATCTGATTGAGTTCGTAATGTGCTACTATTGACAGTATTACCACTACCTTTTATGTGTCATCTAAGCATCGTAGTAGGAGACGGACAATCTTCTCATAGTACATCCTCCTTGCGGAGGCTATCAGAAAGTATTTTATATAATAATAATAATAAAAAAAAGAATAAACATTTGCATTGCAGTCTTATAAGAGTTTCTCGAAAATGCTTATTGGTATTTAATGCTGGCGATTATTACGCACAGTTGGTCAAACAGGAGAGATTGATCGTGGCCCAATGGTTAGCGTGCCGGACTGTGGCTTCAGCGTTCGCTTCACCTTACTGGCAAAGAACGAAAGTGTGCTCCATACTTTGTTGCCATGGGTACGTTATAAGGGTGACAGTCAAATCCAGCTATTAGATGAGGCAAGAGTAGCACGAAAGTTAGCGGTTTTATGCTGTTGATTACACAGGCCTGCGATGGTTTTATTGTCTTAAAGTAATTACACAGGCCTGCGATGGTTTTATTGTCTTAAAGTAATTACACAGGCCTGCGATGGTTTTGTTATCTTAAAGTAATTACACAGGCCTGCGATGGTTTTATTATCTTGAAGTAATTACACCGGCCTGCGATGGTTTTATTATCTTGAAGTAATTACACAGGCTTGCAATGGTTTTATTATCTTGAAGTAATTACACAGGCCTGCGATGGTTTTATTGTCTTAAAGTAATTACACAGGCCTGCGATGGTTTTGTTATCTTGAAGTAATTACACAGGCGTGTAATGGTTTTATTATCTTGAAGTAATTACACAGGCCTGCGATGGTTTTATTGTCTTAAAGTAATTACACAGGCCTGCGATGGTTTTATTATCTTGAAATTTGTGCATGTTCTACAGTAATTCCTGTACGCTGAATCTTAAAATGATATCCATTTTTCTCCATCACGTACAGATTTTTCATCAAACGTCATAACGCAATACATAAAAGAAAGACTAAAAGACGTAGAGTTCACAAAAAAATCACGATGAATGAGGATGTATATTCGTTTGACATCAATGTTCTTACCTTTTCTTCAGTTTATCTGTATTTTTGTTAACAAACATAATAATAAAAAATGTTCATTGTGGTAAACGAAATAATAACTTGATCTAAGTAACAGTTTTCTTTCTTCTCGATTTGTAAAAAATCTTTACGTGATAGAAAAAAAATAAATTATTTTCAAAGTCTGCGTAGCTGAATTATGGAAAAACCGTTATTAAAACCAAAACAACTTTTATGAAGTTTAAATTCGCAGGTCTGTGTTATCTGTATCCCCTCTAGCCTAGGCCTGGCATGGCCAGGTGGTTAAGGCACTCGACTCGCAATCTGAGGGTCGCGGGTTCGAATCCCTCTCACACCAAACATGCTCGCCCTTTCAGTCGTGGGGGCGTCATAATGTGACGGTCAATCCCACTATTCGTTGGTAAAAGAGTAGCCCAAGAGTTGGCGGTGGGTGGTGATGACTAGCTGCCTTCCCTCTAGTCTTACACTGCTAAATTAGGGACGGCTAGCGCAGATAGCCCTCGTGTAGCTTTGCGCGAAATTCAAAAACAAACAAACCTCTAGCCTATCATTTCAAACTTAGGAACGACTATGTACAGATAGCCCTTGTGTAGTTTTGAGCGAATATAAGAAAACAGGTAAGTCAATAAAATTTTGTGAATGGAACCGTTTCCATTACACATCTCTTATCGAACTTAGTAAATAAATGTGTTACAGAACATAAACTATTGCGTCAGATTACGTTCACTCGATCTTAAATAGCAAAGTAAAGAAGTTAACAAATCAATAACACATTTTTTTCACACCAGTTGCTAATTTTACCTACTGACCGGTTTACAACTTTCTTACCATTCTGGTGTGGCTTTGAAACGTCCACACGGGACAATGGGGATTCTATATCACGTCTAGAAAGTACAAGAACAATAAGGATTCTACATCACATCCACACAGGATAAGGACAAAGAGAATTCTGTTTGGAGACAGCTGGAATGGGTAACAAAGAAAACGTTTATAATAAATATATAAAGTTTAGAAAAAACTGCACTCATCGTCAAGTACAAGTAGTTCACCTATGCACAGTAGGGGCCAGAGACGTCATATAGCCGGAGATTGCTTAACATGAGGTGTTGGTTTAGAATGAAGGCTGTTTTGTTCAATTAAGATGGCTTCTTTGATTTTGCGTTTGGTGATGTTTGGCTCTTTGCCTTAAAATTAAAATGTTTTTAATAAACTTTTTTTTTTTAGATGCAGCGGTGGGAGAGTTTTTTTACTCTGTCCGGTTAATCTATTTTTCAATTTCTTCGTTCTAGAATTTTGGGCAGTTATTACACGTTATTTTATAAATTTATACGTGATTTATATTTATTAATTATTGTTGCACTGATTTCAGCGACGAATGGTAAACTGCAGTGTAATGTTGTGTTCTTGTCGTTTATTCTGGGTTCATTTGGTATCAGTTTTGTTCTTGAGTTGAGTTGTGAGTTTTTGTTGTGGTGTTTGTGTGAGATTTATGATTGAGCTTTGTTACTGTGAATGAAGGAATGTTTTATAAGGTTGATTTCTTCATCTGTGTTGTCCCTTGAACAGTCTTTAAGCTATGTTTATAATGTGTTCATCTTTTGTGACCTCTTTGTTCCATATTGTAAATATATATATATATATATATATTCCTGTGTCTAAGTAAATATTTGTAACCTGACATGGTTAAACTTTGTACAATTATTACTGTGTTATTCTTGTAATAAAGTCTCTTCGTTACCCATTCATGTCATCTCCAAACTGTATTAGTCTCAAAGTGGATTCCATGTCATCAGAAGAGGGAATTCTGATTTACCGCCAAAATTCAGACAAAAGTAGCTAAAAAGTGTAGTTTACCAGAATCCAACTGCATACGTCATCGACTATTCTAAGTATGATTCGTAGGGAAGGACACCTCTAGTTCATATAGATTGGTAGAAATATTTGAAATTCCCCTTGAGATGGTATCGCCTCTCCCCAGGGATTTCAGACCCAAGGTCAAGATGATACGAATTTCTAGCCTTTGGCGTATTCAATGTTACCTGAGTAAAAAGTCCAAATACATGTTTACCACATGATATCTGTTTAACAATGCATGCAGAACACCTGCAGAAAATTTACAGAAGACTATTTGGATATATCAGACTAAAGATACATTCGAAACTAGTTATGGATATATCAGACTAAAGATACATTCGAAACTAGTTATGGATATATCAGACTAAAGATACATTCGAAACTAGTTATGGATATATCAGACTAAAGATACGTTCTAAACTAGTTATGCGAGGTAAATTTAATGAATATTTCAGTCATTGAACTTACTTGACATTTGTTTTTGTTGTTTTTTTTTTGCACAGCTTTATTTTGCTTCCGAAAGTCTAATTTTAAAGACCCCCCCCTCCTCCTCCCCATTAGGCTCAGCTGTAAATTTTGTGCTTACAACACCAAAATTTGGTTTTGTTACCTGTGGTGGGCAGTACACAGATAGCCCAATGTGTTGCTTTGCGCTTAACAACAAACCAACCAACCAAGCTCATGTTTAAAAAATGTGTAAAATCACGATGACCCGATATGGTTTCTCCAGCTTGTCATTCCTCCAATCAGATTACTTAAATTATAACTTTTTTCAATAATCAAATTAGTTATTAATAGTGATTATAAACACAATAACGAAATAATACTACATTTTAAGATACAGTTTTAGAATAACTTCTCCAACAGAAATCGAGAGGTATATTTGGTTATTGCGATCAAATACGTGCTAAATTAACTGAAAAGAAAGGTAATAATGGTGAAATGTTCCCAATCTCTTCAGTAATAGTGCTTTTAATAATACAAATTTATGGCCAGAATCACTTTTTATAAAATGTTAACACGCTGAAAGTTTGTCTATGTTACTGGAACGTAACTGCAAAATGTCATTTTGACACATCTAAGTGGATATCGCTTAACGTCCTAAGTTATCAAACTTAAACACAACCTCTTATTTCATATACATCTTCTAACCGCTAAAAAAAAATACGTATATATTTCAAGAGATGGCCATAATAAATTTGTCAATAATCTCCGGGGAGTGTAAGTGCATTTAACCACCGAGAAAGAACAAAACAATTATAGCTAATTTAACTATATAGTAACAATGAGGAAGTTCGCTGTGACTTAATCAAATGGTCACGTGACTCATTGGTTGGCAAGACCTTGTTTAAAAATGGCTGACTAGTA